AATTATGTGACTCGTCACCTCTGCCTCAGGCTCTGTCCCTCTGGCACAGGGAGTTAGGTGTCAGTGAGGTGATGTGACCCCTCCCTGGGGTGCCAAAAGCGGGGCTGGGCTGCGGTCACTCGCACTGACGCAGGGCCCGCTGGGAGCGTGTGGTCTGCACCTTTGTTTGCACTCGGGGTGCGTTCTCCCTCGTGAGCTGCTTCTCCGTAGTGGCAGGGATAAGGATGTCGTGGGGCACCTCCAGGATGTTGGCATCACAGGGCTCTGCTTTTGGAAAGCCAGCTATGGTCCCGTGGCCCTGGAATGAGCAGGAGAGTCCTGCTGGGCCCAGCCAGGCAGCATCGAGTGCTGTTCTCAGAGCCGGACTCCAGAGAAGGTGAGGGGCAGCCCCCCTCCTCGAGGGCACTGACCACCCCTCCTAAGAACAGGGCCTGGGTTGACTGGGCTCAACTCACTTGCTCATAGTCTTCTAGGTCCTTGGGGTCGATCCCCCTGGGATCATAAATGGCTCTGTCTCTCCAACACAGACGCAGTGGGCTCCATACTCGTGCAGATACTTCACAGTGTGCAGCCCCACTGTGCCAAAGCCCTGCCACAACACAGAGCAGGGATGGCCTGGGAAATCATGGGGACAACACTGAACATGGCCCCGCTGCTCTGGTAGCAGCCCCCTCTCAGGAGCCTGAGCTGGGAAGAACAAATAGGAACCCCTGATCCAGCAGTTCTTGGTGAAAGTTTTGGCTGGATGGAGACCAGGACCTGCCAGGACAGAGATCTCCTTGGTTAGCTACAGGGTTGTTAGAGCCCATAGGATAAAGGCTTCCAGCTCAGCCTGTCGTTATCACCTCCAGAGCTCCTGGACACCATGTTCCAAGCACAGCACGCTGTTCATCTCCTAAGAGCCGATCTCAGTGGAAAACTGATCCAGTGAGAAACATGGTCCCTTGGTGGGCACCACACAACATCCAGGCACAACCTGAGCCCTCCCCCTGCCTGTCCTGCTGCGGGGGTGCAATCTGCCACCATGACACCAGCACAAGGCAGGGCCAAGGGGCAGCTCAGCTCTTCTTACGGGAACAGATGATTTTGCACTGCCTGCCCCAAAATGCTTGCCAGCTTGGTACAGCTCCTAAAAGCAACACTGGTTCCTGAGACTGCAAAAACATGCCCCAAACACAGCGAAATGATGCCAACAGTAGCCAAGGACTTCAGCCTTCTCGCTCTCTGCTGTATCAGCAAAGCAGGAGCGCGGGAAGGGAAGGGATGGGCAAAGGCAGGGCCATTCCTGAGGCCACTGCGGGCAGCAGCTCTGGGGGCAGCCTCTGTTCAAAGCCTCTTCCCCGCGGCAGGGAGCTGCATCGAGGAGCGAGCGCCCGGAGGACAGCACCAAGTGCCGGCCGCAGGCAAGGTTTCGGCTGCGCAGGTTCCAGTTTATTTCCCCTTTGCAGAGAGCGGCGGGCGCAGCGGGACACGGGCAGAGCAGGCAGTGGATGGAGGCAGCAGTGCCTGGCAGAGAGCAGGAGCTCCTGGAGCAGGAGGAAGCACTTCATCCCAGCTGTGAGCAGGCCCTGGGTTGTGGGGATGGGAAGGTCCTTCCTGGGAGGAGAGGGGAAAAGGCCGGCCTGGCACCTGCAGGGTCCCACTGAGCTCCCAGGATGCTGGGTAAGGCAGGGCCAGACCCACAGAGCACCCAGAAGAGACAGGGGCTGTACCCACCAGCAGGACCTTTGCCATAGGTGACATCACGGTTTGCTGCGGCCGGTTTAGGGGTGACAGAAACCTGAAGTTGTCACTGGGGAGGGTGTCTCCATCCAGTCTGGCAGAGCACTCTGTGTCTGGCCACCTCTCTGCTCTGCCTGCTGCGCAGACAAGGGTCAGCCACAGCGTCTCTTTTATGAGCGATTTCAGAAAGGATGGCTACAGAGAAACCTTGTGAATGCCTGTGCGGGGTGAGCAGCATGGCATCCCTGGAGCTGTGCCTGCAGCAGGTCTGAAAAACTGCTCAAGGGAGCGCCAGCTGCCACAGGGTGCAGAGGGATTCGGGAAATCATGTCCAGAGAGCACTGAGGCTGATAGCTCTCCTGGAAAGGAGGGGCAGAAAGATCCTGAGGAAGTGTCCTCTTGTGCTGGTTTTGGCTGGGATAGAGTTAATTTTCTTCACAGTAGCTGGTATGGGGCTGTGTTTGGATTTGTGCTGAGAAGGATGTCACAACACTGATGTGTATGCTAAGCCAAGGAGTTTTTCAGTTTCTCTTTCTGCCCTGTTCTCCCAGCATCTTGTCTACAAGGACAGCTGACCCAAACCGACCAAGGGGACATCTCATGCCGTAAGGCATCACGCTCCGTATCTAAGCTGAGGGGAGTTGGCTGGGGGAGGAATTGCTGCTCGGGGATGGGCTATTGATCACTAGGTGGTGAGCAATTGTTGCACTGTGCATCACTTGTTTTTGTATATTCCTTTATCAGTAATATTATTATTTCCTCTCCCTTTGCTGTCCTGTTAAACTGTTTTTATCTCAACCCCCGAGTTTTTTTTTCCCAATTCTCTCCCCCCTCCCACCTGGGGGTGATGAGGCTCAGGCGGAAGCAGTCCATGTGCTGGTGATGTAGCTCTCAGTGACATGCAGGACCCCTCACCCGGCGGCAGAGTGTCGTGGATGCCTCCCTGGCTGATGGGCTTCCCTGTCACACACGCCTGGGCACTGATGTCCTGCGAGGCCAGGATGGGGAGAGCAAAGGTTAAGGTCTCACCTGGTGCAGGCCCTCGGGAGAGGACTTTCCCTAAGCCTCAGCTTCCTGCACTCTCCCCATGTCTCAGCTAAAGCAGCTCATCGGTCTCTGGGCACAAACCCTTGTAGTGCCCACGGCATGCCGGGCTCCAAACCAGCACTGTCAGAGCTTACCTGGTACCCCAGTGTGTGGGTGTAGGTGTCAGCTCTCCAGGACATCTCCCGCTCCCTGGTGCTGACATCGGGCCAGCACGCCAATCCCTGGCTCTGCAGAGGCAGAAAAATCTGTCAAATCCTGTCTCTGTGATTCGATTGCTATGTTCCGGCCAATGGCACGTGTACAGCCAGGCGATCTCCGCAGGCTGGTCGTATCCTTGGCACATCAAGGAGGCCCCTGACCAAAGTGTGGTGCTGCCCATGCCCCAGGGCCTCCCCATCCTCCCTCAAGCATCAACGTCTTCAGCTTTCCAAGGTTGTTGCTGTGTCCCTTCCCAACACCTTCAAGGAAAGAGGGAATGTGGTGCTTGTGGCCAGCACCCACTCAGCTCTATCACACACCGAGGCAGGACAAACCTTCATTCCTCCCTTCGACTGCACAGACCGGTGGGAATGGAGGGTAACGTGCAGGTGAGACCCCTGCCCGGCGGTACCTGGGAGGCAGCCTGGGCCAGCCCTGCCGTGCTCAGCACCACACGAGGCTTCCCCCCTGCTCCCAATTCACAGCACAGACAGAGCAGAGCAGCGAACAGACCGCAGA